AGTGTGGAGCCGGAAGAACACAGCAGGCCAGGCAGCATCGGAGGAACAGGAAAGCTGACGTTTTGTGTCTGGACCCTTCTTCAGAAAATTTCTCTGAAGAAGGGTCCCGACCGGAAACATCAGCTTTCCTGCTCCTCTAATGCTGCCTGGCCGGCTGTGTTCTTCCGGCTCCACACTGTTTTATCTCTGACTCCAGCATCGGCAGTTCTTACCGTCTCTTTGGATTTTGCTTAATTCTGTTTGCCAAAAACATTTCCTTTTAGCCCTCTTGACTCTTCCTAGCCTTCCTAACTAGTAAAGAAATGTAAAATAAGAACAGAAAGTCTTGGAGAAACTCAACAGGTCTGGCAACATCTGTGGAGAGCGAAACAGAGGAAGCAGAGTTAATGTTTCAAGTCTGATAATGACGTCTTCAGAGGAAAGTGGTAGAAAGTGTTTCTGGTCTCATTCTTCTAGTTGGTAAAAATGTTGTATGAGGAGGTTTGATGAGATGTTGCATTGCACCCTGTAGATGTTACACACTGCTGCTACTGAGCATCACATGGTGAAGGGAGTTTAAGAATATAAGAACTAGAAGCAGGAGTAGGCCATTCAGCCCCTGAAGCTGCTCTGCCATTTACTACGATCATGGCTGATCTCATCTTGATCTCAACTCCATTGTCCTACCTGCTGTCCCTAACCTCTCAACCCATTACTAATTAAAAATCTATCTTCTTAAATTTACTTAGTGTCCCAGCATCCCCTGCACCCTGGGGGAGTGAACACCATAGATTCATGACCCTTTCAGAGAAGTAATTCCTCCTCATCTCTGTTTTAAATCTGACTTCCCCCTTATCCTAAAACTATGATCTCTCGTTCCAGATTGCCCCACAAGGGGAAACATCTTCTCTACATCCGCTTTGTCAATCTTTTATTAACATCTTAGTTCTGCTCTCGCGCTTCTAAACTCTAGTGAGGATAGGCCTAACCAGCAGCAGGTCAATGTGGTGTCAGTCAAGAGGTGTCCTAGATGGTGTCAAGCTCCCTGAGTGTTGTTGGGACAGGAGACATCCGCTCACATACGTATCACTGGCATCTCTCTCTCAGGTGAGCTCTGTCCCACGTGACCAGATTTCCTTTACCACCCAGTCTGAGACAAGAATTCCTCCTCTTGTCTATCCTGGGGACTGGACACTTGCTGCATGGTCCTTCACACATTTTATAAGTCATTAGTGGCAATCAAGGCCAAGATGTGGATTCACTTCATATGTAATAAGTAACTCAGTGCATGGATAAACAGTTTTCATTCCACTTCAGTCAAATATCCGTTGACGAATTAAAGCAAATTACACGACCAATCAAAGTATAGTTGGAGGTTCACTAACTGATTGTGGCCTGTGAGAATGTTTCTCGGTCATTGTTTGAACAGATGCCTGAGGGCATTCCTCTTCCAGCCCCAACAATGGTCAAAGGGACAATTTTAGGGCTTGAGGTGCAGAGGCACTGAAGAGTGTGCAGTCGAATTCTACATATTGGGAACCAGCACTGGTTCCCAGATTCCACACCTCCCACCATTTACCCAGAGGTGTTCTTTTGGTGGGCAGTTGAGAATAAATTTTTGTTCGCCCATTCCCAATTGCCCCTGATCTGAGTGTCTTGCAAGGGCCATTTCAGACTGTAGTTAAGAGTCAACCACATTGCTATGGATCTGGAGTCACATGTAGGCCAGACCAGGTAAGGTTGGCAAATTTCCTTCCCTCAAGGACATAACTGAACTGTTGATGATGGTTATCATGGTCACTGTTATTGAGACAAACTTTATATTTATGAGTTAAACTCCTCCAGCTATTGTGTTGGGGATTTGAACTGATTCCTACAAGACTTCAGCTCAACAACAAAAACAGAAGTTGCTGGAAAAGCTCAAAACTAGTTCTGAGGAGAGGTCACCGGACCTGAAGCATTAACTCTGATTTTTTTCTTCACAGATGCTGCCAGATCTGCTGAGTTTTTCCAGCAACTTCTGTTTTTGCTCCTGATTTACAGCATCCATGGTTCTTTCAGTTTTTAAGACTTTGTGGAAATCCAGCTCACTGGATTACTAGTCTAGGGACATCACGGAGACTGAAAGAAGCAACATGTCTGTCATGGTGAGGGTATTAGAATTGATCACTGAGGAACTTAGAGCTGGACGCATGGAAAAACCCAAGGGAACTGGGAGGAATCAAGATGGTTTAACCAAAGGGAAATAATTTCTGACCAACTTATTGGAATTCTTTGAAGGAGCATCACATGATGTGGGTAAAAGAAACCCTGTTGATGTACTTAAATTTCCAGAAGGCATTTCACGTGATGCCACATAAGGTGCTGTTGTGTAAACTGAAGGGGGGGTGTTGGTGAGCAGTTAACATGGATAGAAGATTGGTTGGCTAGCAAAAAACAGAGAGTGTGACTGTGTTTGATTGACAGGATAATGATCAGAGTCCCACAGGGCTCTGTCTTGGGGTCTCAATGATTGACAATTTCCATCAACATTTCAGATGAGGGAGCAAAGGCATGATTCGCAGATAACACCAAAACAAGTAGAAAGGGGGACGTTGTGAAGAAGACTTGAGGAAATGCAGATGGGCATTGATAGACCAAATGAATGAACATAAATCTGGCAGATTGTGTACAAGGTGGGAAAATGTGAAGAATACAAAGACAGATGTTACTTAAATGGAGAACAACTGCAGAATTCCAAGGTGAGGAGGGATTAGGTGCTTAAGTGTATGAGTTGCAAACTGTTAGCCCGTAGGTACAACAATTAAACAAGAGGCTAATGGGTTGGTATCCTTAATATGAGAGAAATTGAACACAATAAGAAGGATGTAATGTTTCAGTGACACAGGGCATTGGTGAGAAACATATCAAATACTGCATGTACCTTTGGTATCCTTATTTAAGTAAGGATGTAAATGTATTGGAGTGGTTCAGGGAGGTTTATGAGGTTGATACCTAAAAGGAGTGGATTGTTTCCTGAGGAAAGGTTGGACAGACTGTGCGTGTTTCCACTTGAGTTTAGAGAGGGAGGAGTGATTTGACTGAGGTGTATAAGATCCAGTTTGGTCTTTACAGGGTGGATGTGGAAAGGATGGTGCCTCTTGTGGATGAGTTCTGTACAAAGGCACACTGCTTTAAACTTCAGGGTCACTCTTTAAGTACAGAGATGAGGGGGAGTTCTTTCTCTCAGAGGGTTGTGTGACTTTGGAACTCTGCCTCAGATGGCAGTGGAGGAGGGGTTATTGAATATTTTTAAGGCAGAGGTGGATACGTTTGTGTGAGACAAAAATCACGGGTGGATGGGAAATGGAGTATGAAGCACCACACAACCTTATTGAATAGCAGAGCAGGCAGAGGGGCTGAATGGTCTACATTTGCACCCATATCGTATGTTCACAAAGCCTTGGGTCACCAGCACGAAAACCTGTTCAGGTCTTATCTCAGAGGCACTAGGGGAGAACACAGCAGGGGTCAGGTAGGGGGTCAGTGCTCACAGTCGGCATTTAGACCCTCCCACCAACAATAACTATCATATCAATGTAGCTAGTTGCTTATGTGTAACAATTGTTAACTTCAATGGACTCTTCTAGCTGGAACAGGGAGGTGGCTTTTCTCAAACTTGACGGAGTAGGACATGTAATTTCCAACACTTCAGGAGGATGGTGATAGTGAGTCTTTGTCATGAGGAGATGTGTAATAAACTGGCCTTCCACCTAACAGCTGTTGGCTGCTTATGAGCTCAAACAAATAACGGTGAGTGCAAAACGGGCCAATTGCTGCTTTAATAAGTATCTATGAAATTGGTTGGCACAATTAAATGCACAGTAGGTCACAGACAATCACAGTAATTGTACTCTCACATAAAATTCATGATGAGTTGAGAATCAGGATAGAATCACAGCTAACATTGACTTCATATACGTTGGTAAATCTTGTATGCACTTAAGAAGACACAATCATGTAACTTCGTAAATGCCCATGAACTGGAGTGTGAAATATTTTGGTATTTGGGCTTTTTTCTAGCTTACATCATTGTTTATTATTATTTAGAATTTTGATGCTTTGCTGAATGTTCAGTTTCATCTTAAAACCAGTACCTATGTTCCTTTTATCCAATTTTCAAACAGAATGGGAAATATTCCCAAAGCAAAAGCACCATTCACTATTTGATTAGGATTTGTTTTCCATCACTGTCGCTTGACTCTTTCTGTGTTTTCCCAGTGCCTGAGGAATCAATTTCGTACTGTTTTCTCACATCGGGGTTTGCTGTGAAGACAATAATGGTTTAGACTGAGCATAACTGTTGGAAAATCATCAACAATTTGTACTTCAGAACCAATCTGTTCAATAGATTGCTTGAGATGTGTAGTAATTGTAACAAGGTCAGCCAGCTGGACTTCATAGAATATGAGTTCCCTGATTGGGGCTGTTAATCTGGCCCAATCAGGGAGTCCTGGCTGACTGATATAACCAGGAGGGTCAGATATCCTGTTCACTCTGAGAGCTGGCTCTGAGGGAGCTGGATCAGTGTCACATACTACGCACATGTACATAAAGGGGGACTTGGTGACAGGATACCAGCCTTCAAGGAGTAATTTCCAGATGGGTGCACTGCCTAAGTTACAGATCCCTCCGAAGGAGCGGAATGGTGTGATTCCCTTTAAATGGGTTAACCTCAATGTTAAAGGAGAGCAGGATGTAATTATAGAGTCATGCAGCACAGTGACAGACCTTTCGGTCCAACTCGTCCATGCTGACCAGACATCCCAATCTGACCTGGTCCCATTTGCCAGCATTTGGCCCATATCCCTCTAAACTCTTCCTATTCATGTACCCATCCAGATGCCTTTTAAATGTTGTAATTGTCCCAGCCTCTACCACTTTCTCTGGCAGCTCATTCCATACACGCACCACCCACTGTGTGAAAAAGTTGCCCCTTAGGTCCCTTTCAAATCTTTCGCCTCTCACCTTAAACCTATGGCCTTTAGTTTTTGACTCCCCTCCCCTGGGGAAAAGACCTTGGCTATTCACCTTATCCATGCCCCTCATGGTTCCATAAAACTCTATAAGGTCACCCCTCAGCCTCCAAAGCTCCAGGGAAAATAGCCCCAGCCTATTCAGCCTCTCCTTATATCTCAAACTCTTGGACCCTGGCAACATCCTTGTAAATCTTTTCTGTGCTCCCTCAAATTTAACACCATCCTTCCTGTTGAAGGGTGACCAGAATTGTAGGCAGTATTCTAAAAGTTGGAATGTGCACCCTGGACCAAAACCAGAAAAGAAAACTGAAGCTGGCATTACCCACTCCTGTTCTGTATCCAGTGACTAAACTGCAAAGGCATTGGTGAGTGCTGAATGAGGAGAGAGTCTTCCTGCTGCTGTGGGGCTACAGAGGAAATTCGGTGCATGGTTCAAGGGTTGAATTTGGGCCAGGATCCAGTAAAACTGAGTCCTTATCCCAAGGTCTCTGTGGTATTGGCAGGTGGGGAGGGTGTTGAGTCAGAGTAGGTAGCAGGATGTTCAGAAAAAACAACAGGAGCTTCACCAGTTTCATTATAGGGATGGTAGGTTGCAAGTGAATGTAACTAGAACAGTGATTACTGGAGAAACTGAGCAGGATTTGGAAGAATTTATGGAGAGAAAGCAGAGTTAGCATTTCGGGCCCAGTGACTCTTCTTCAGAACTGATCGTAGCTGGGAAAATATAGTATATGTGCTGATGACAAGTGGTTGGTAGGAAGTGGGGGGGGGCAGTGTTGAGGTGCCAAGAAATAAGCAGATGGCTGGAGACAGAGCCCAGAGTGAGAGATAGATGTTTAGATTCTAGGGCAGCATGGTGGCACAGTGGTTAGCCCTACTGCCTCACAGCGCCAGGGACCCAGGTTCAATTCCACCCTCGGGTGACTGGCTGTGTGGAGTTTGCACATTCTCCCCGTGTCTGTGTGGGTTTCCTCCCACAGTCCAAAGATGTGCAGGGTAGGGTGGATTGGCCATGCTAAATTGCCCGTAGTGTTCAGGGAGGTGTAGATTAGGTGGGTTTTAGGGGGATGGTTCTGGGTGGGATGCTCTGAGGTTCAATGTGGACTTGTTGGGCCAAAGGGCCTGTTTCCACACTGTAGGGATTCTATGATTTAGATTTTATTGTCACGTGTACTCAAGTACAGGAATACAAGAGTACGGTGAAAAATGTGCAAAGTCACTATTCTTTGGCACCAACTTAATGCACAAAAGACTGGATTGAAAACAGAAGCAGGAATAAAATAAACTGTCAAAAGAGATAGTGCAGCAGGGAAGGAGAAAAGCTGAATAATGGGTTGGTGAAAATGAGTAATATATTTAAGTTTGCTGAAGATAAAAATCTGGGTGGGAATGGAAGCTGTGAGGAGGACACAGAGAGGCTGTAATCAGTTAATAGAATCCCTACTATGTGGAAGCAGGCCATTTGGCCCATCAAGTCTACACCAATTCAGACCCAATCCCTACCCTCTCCCTATAGCTCTGTCTTTCCCATGGCTAATCCACTGAGCCTACACATCCCTGGGCACTATGGGTAATTTAGCTCACCAATCCACCTAACCTGCACATCTTTGGACTGTGGGATGAAACCGGAGTACCCGGAGGAAACCCACGCAGACACGGGGAGAATGTGCAAACTCCACACAGACAGTTGCCTGAGGCTGGAATCGAACTCAATGGCTAACCACTGAGCCACTGTGCCACCCAGCCAGGTTGAGTGAGTGAGTGAGCAACAAGATGCCAATGGCATAAGAAGTTGGGGATTGTGAGGTTATTCACTTTGGTTAGAAAAGGGCAATATATTCTAAAAGGCCTGAAACTTGTAAGATGTTAATATTCAGAGAGACATGAGTGTACTCGTACAAGGAACACAGAACATTAGTACGCAGGTATAACCAGTAACTAAGAAGGCAAAAGCCACGTCAGCCTTTCACGTAAGAAAATTGGATACAAGCATGAAGAAGTCTTGCTTGAATTTGAATTTTTTGAAACCACACCTGGAGTCCTCTGTGCAGATTTGGAAATGATACAGTAAAATTTCCCCAGATTGGTCCCTGGGATGAAGGGCTCGTCCAATGAAGTGAGGCTGGGTAAAGTGGCCCTATGTTCTCCAGAGTTTAGAAAAGTGAGATGTGGTCTAGAAGATTCTATAGTGGCTTGACAGTGTCAGAAACAAAGAGGTCTTTTCCCTTGGGGACTCCAGAACCCAGGGACACACTCTCAGGATAAGGGCCCAATCATTTAGGGCTGAGATGAGGAGAGATGACTTCACTCAAAAAGTTGTGAATCTTTGGAATTCTGTACCACAGACGATCATAGATACTTCCTTGTTGAATAAATGTAAATCTGGGATTGACGCAGATTTACGCACAGATCCCTAAAGGCAGCAGTGTAGGTGGACAAGGTTATAAAAAATGCATATGGAATGCTCTCCTTCATTGGCAGAGATATAGAACACAAAAGTAGGGATATAATGATTAAACTGTATAAGATACTAGTAAGGCCACAACTGGAGCATTGTGTGTGGATCTAGTTGGGAAGGTGTTGGCCAAGTGGTATTATCGCTGGAGTGTTAATCCAGAGACCCAGGTAATGATATGGGGACCTGGTTTCGAATCCTGCCATGGCAGATGGTGGAATTTGAATTCAATAAATATCTGGAATTAAGAGTCTAATGATGACCATGAAACCATTGCTGATTGTCAGGAAAAACCCCATCTGGTTTACTAATATCCTTTTAGGAAGGATATCTGCCATCCTTACCTGGTCTGGCCTACATGTGACTCTAGACCCACAGCAATGTGGTTGACTCGTAACTGCCCTCTGGGCAATTAGGGATGGGCAATAAATGCTGCCTGGTCAGTGATACCCTCATCCCATTAATAAAAAGAGAAGTCACCACATTACAGGAAGGAATGTAATTCCTATGGAGAGAGTACAGAGAGGATTTACTAGAATGTTGCCAGAGCTGGAGAATTGCAGCTACATGGAGAGATTGGAGGGGTTGAAGTTGTTTTCCTTCGAACAGAGAGGGCTGAGGGGTGACATGATTGAGGTATACAACATTGTGAGGGGTAGAGATAGAGTAGGCAGGAGGAACCTGTTTGCCTTGGCAGAGAGTTCAAAAACCAGGGGGTCATAGATTCAAGCTAAGTTGCAGAAAGATTAGAGGGGACATTTTTACGTGGAGGGTGGTCTGGGAATTCGCTGCCTGAGTTGGTGGTGGAGGCAGAAACCCTAAACGCTTCCAAAAAGTACCTGGATCTGCACCTTGTGTGCTGTAAGCTGCAGGGCTATGGGCTATGGGCCGTGGGCCGGGAGATAGGATTGGAAAGGGGATCTGGGTGTCTTTGGGTCAGTATGAATAAGATGGGCCAAACAGTCCCTTCTGTGTTGTACCATTTCTATGGTTCAGTGGAATCCAGGGATATGGGGAGCAGGTGATAAAGTAGAGATCGGTAGGTTGTATGGAATAACAGAGTGGACTCGAAGGGTTGAATGGCCTGCTCCTATTTCTTATTCTGTGTCATTGATTTGCCAGCTGAAGCAAAGTAATACAGATTGTAATTCGCCAGTAAAGTATGCATTTAAATGTCAGTTTTCATCAAAACACTCACATTGGTTAGATTTGTTCCTTGATCTCGATTACTGTTCTCCACCTTCTTGCGATATTTCCGTCTAAGATGGTAAACAGTGACCACGGTTACTATCAGCATGGCCATAAACACGACGACAGAAGAGACTGCTGCTATCATCACAGTATCTTCCTGTTTGCCGTAGGTCTGACAGTATTGACCAGAATACCACCAATCCTCACCTGTTCGACACCTGGAAAAAAGCAGCACCTCAGTTACAGATAGGACAGGGCAGGCCTGAGGGGGTACAGAAGGGAACTTCTTTCGCTTTGAATGATGTCTAATGCGACGCGCTTACTGACTTAACGCACCTGGGTTTTCCCTGGGTGGTAACATTCAGTCGGGTACCTGTGGACATAGGGGAGCGTGGGGGAGCAGCCAAGATCCAGGGCCTCAATGAGTGACATCGCAGGCTCTGGATCTCCTGCCAGGCCCACCCGGGCAGCTGAGGCAGGCTGGGAATCGCAAGGGTAACCCCCTCCCTGTCTCACAGGGAACAGCCTCACCAGCCTGGACAATTTCCATGAGGCAAATGGCCCTGTCAGCAAATTGGGGGTTGGAGGGGGGCAAGCCCTCTGTTGGATCCTGCTCTGCCTCTCGTGAGCACAGCCGTTGTTTGCAACGTGGAACCCCTGACTTTTATTCCGCACCCCCATCTCCCCCCCAACCCAGTCTGTATCCAAGAAACAGGCAGTCTTTGGGTGACAGGTTGCTGTCGCTGGGGTAAAATTCCACGGTTGGGTTTTAGCTCAGTTGGCTGGGCGGTTGGTTTGCGAAGCAGTATGAAGTGTGGGTTTAATTTCCATCAGCAGCTGAGGTTACCATGAAGGACTCTCCTTCTCGACCTCTCCCCTCACCCTGAGGTGTGGTGGCCCTCAAGTTATACCATCAGTTGTCTCTCTCTGTAATGAGACAGCAGCCCTGTGGACTGGTAAGACTATGGTGACAGAAAAATCATTGCTGTGATCGGCTAATCACCTTTCTGTCCTGCCTCTTGGGCAGGGAGGGGAATCATCTTCAGTGGAAGGAATATGACACAGCCCCCAGCCCTGTCCCACCTATCCCCTGTTCCCCCCACCTCCCGGCTCCCCCATGGGGTGTTGGGAAACTCCAGTCCCTAAGAAGACACTGCCTTCGGCCTAAGGCATCAAACCAAGGCCTGGTCTTCTCTCGCTGTCTTTGTCAGGAGCCATTCTTTGAGGATACGTTGGCCCGCAATATCTTAGCCATTAATCAACACCGAAGATAAAGGGATAACAAGTTGTAGAGCTGGAGGAACACAGCAGGCCAAGCAGCATCAGAGGAGCAGAAAAGCTGATGTTTCGGGCCGAGACCCTTCTTCAGAAATTCCTGCTCCTCTGATGCTGCTTGGCCTGCTGTGTTCATCCAGCTCTACACCTTGTTATCTCAGATTCTCCAGCATCTGCAATTCCTACTATCTCCGAAGATAAAGGAATGTGATCTGCTCGTAATCGCATTGTTGCTTGTGGGCGCTTGCTGTCCACGAATTGGCCGCTCCATTTCTAACATTACCATAGCGACGGCACTCCAAAAACACATCATTGGCTGACATGCGCCAGCGCAAGATGCTATCAGGATAAAAGCTCCTCTCTGCTCATTACAAACGAGAAGGTTACAGTAATCCATCTCACGTTGAAACAACAACAGAAGGTGTTACCTGCAAACGGGTTCTCCATCAGATATGATGCAGATGCCATTGTTTTCACATTTAAAATCAGCGCACAAATCTGGGGAGCCAGTCGCTGGCTGAGTGGTCGTGCCACCGGGAGTGGGTGTCACCACGTGCGTGGGTACTGATGGAGTTGGCACTGATGGTGTTGGCTGAGGGCCAACAAGATGGGATACATCTAAAAGATCAGAGGACAAGGCTCGTCAACTCTCAACGCCATGATTCATCGTCAAAAACGCAAATAAAAAGCAAAACGCCCACGGTTTCTGGGGATTGGACGGTAAAAACAGAGGGAAAAATAAACAGGAAGGACAGAGAGGAAGGGGAGGTGAGAGAAAAATGGTGGCCCATGGGCACTCTGCTGTCTCAGCCCCTGGCCATCAGGAGCCAGCCCGTCCATGGCAGTTTGACCCGCAGGATATTTACTGCTGCCCAGGCACTAACTATCCTGCCTCCTTCTACAAGTGACCAGCAGCCTTCCTGCCCCAGCTGTGCCACCAGGAGGGGGCTGGAAGTGAAACCTGTTTCCAGTGCATGGAGTTTGGTGTGGCTTTAGAGGGGCAGGGGTGTATCTCTAGTGCCGGATTAGCAGCCCACTTTTTGCAGGGTTTGGGGGGGCTGGTGGTTTGGGGAGCAAGTGGGGTGGGAAGGGGTGCCAGGGATGAGGGAGGGATCTGATTGAAGGTGTCCAGAAGTGCAGATCGTGAGAATCTGTTTCCCCCTCTCAGACCAGAAGGCGTAAGCTTACAGAGAGGAGTAAATGGTTTGGTGGAGATCTGGGAGTGAATATTTTCACCCAGAGAAGGTGCTGCCTGAGAGGGTGGTGAAGGCAGGCACTCAAGAAGCATCTGAATGACAACTTAAACTGCTAGGGGCTACGGACCAAGTGCAGGAAAATGGGATTAGTGTAGTTTGGGGTTTGTTGGTTGGCACAGACATGGTGGGCTGAAGAGCCTGTTTCAATGCTATATGGCTCCATGACAGGTCAGAAGGATAGGAGGCTAGGGACTAACCCAGGATGGCAGCAATACTTTGCAGGGATTGGTGCCAGGGAGTCCATGAAGGAGGAGCACCCCTCGTTCACTACCAATGTTCTTGGCATGGGTCTGTCCCACCGCTCCTGAATCTTATATTATCCTGATCATCCACCTATAACACTGTAGGGGGGTGGGATAGATTCACCACCAAGATCCTTCCTTATTGTTGGCATTGATTTCAACAACTGATAATATTGTGTGGAGGAGGATTCCCAGACAAAGTCTTCTGTCGTAGGCAGGCTTGGTTAAGTAGGTTTATGGCATAGGACGTCAAGCAGTTACATGACATCTGAGACAAAAACAGAAGGTGCTGGAAAAGCTCAGCAGGTCTGGCAGCATCTGTGAAGAGAAAATCAGAGTTAACGTTTCGGGAAACGTTAACTCTGACTTTTTCCTTCACAGATGCTGCCAGATCTGCTGAGCTTTTCCAGCACCTTTTGTTTTTGTCCCTAATTTCCAGCATCCGCAGTTCTTTCGGTTTTTATTCATGACATCTGAGGTCTCCCGATGGTCCCTGCCGAGACATCAGGTGCAACCTTTGCATCATAACTGCTGAAAAGACATGCTCTTGTGGTAATGCCCCTATCTCTCAGATTCGAGTCCCCCTTCCCCACCTGCTCCAGAGGTGTGCAATAACAGCTCTGAACAGGGTAATTATTACAAATAAAATACTCTCACACAGCTTTGTAACAAACACGAGACTGGTACAGCAATGGCTAGCACTTCCCTGGAACATTGCTTTATGTTCTGATGGGCCAGGCCCCTCAGGTACCCCTTCAGGTACTAACCGTCTTATACACCAGTAAGTTCCCAGTGGTTGCAAGACTAGATTGTGCTCTTGACTTTGAGGCTTCCGTTATTCCAAGCAGGCAGGCTGCCGAGATCATCTCCCTCCCTGGGAAACCTGCAGCAGGGCTGGGCTTGTAGGACGTGGACAGAGCATCCATGGGCATTTTGTGAGCTCACCAGCTGTACAACTACCATGAGGGGATCATGAAATCCAACACCAAGTTTCAGGAGGTGAAGTATGTGCAGCCCTCATATCTGACCAAATGCAATTTCACTTTAATATATTGTAATTAAAGGTGTAATAAATAACTGCGAGGGAGTCAGCTAGCTCGGTTGGCTGGATGGCTAGTTTGTGATGTGGAATGATACCACAATGTGGGTTCAATTCCTGCACCAGCTGAGGTTACCATGAAGGCCTCTCCTTCCCAACCTCTCCCTTCAACTGAGGCGTGGTGACCCTCAGGTTAAACCACAACCGGTTGTCTCTCTTAAATGAGAGGGCAGCACTATAGTGGCTTTAGCTTTACCTAAGAAATTGTCGTCTTTCTTTGGAAGTTGGATTTTTAGATAGGAGCAAAGGGATTTTGGTCAGTTCTGCAATTTCTTTTTGTAAGGGTCAGAAAGTCGTTCTGGAACAGATACATCATTGCTCAAAAGACATGTGACTATCTCTGACTTGAGCAAACTGTGTGGCAGGCCTCTGTGGTGTTAATGGATAAGTTTTTTTTATATTGTTGGCTTTATGACAGGACAAAGTAAACACATTAAGGCAATTTGGGTTTGACCCTGGTGACATTAGTTAGACCCAGGTGATATTAGATAGATGCTGTTCTGATTTAAGTGGCTTGACGGCCTTTTCTCATTACCTGCTTTGAAATTCTTGACTCATATGGGAAAAGGTTGCTGATTGGTTATCAAATCAACTCGGATTGTCTGTAGCTGGGGCATTGCCTTGTCGGAACCAAGGGGGAGCTAGAGCTGCCCAATCTCCTGCATAACTTCACAAAATGTCTTGAGGCTTGAAAATATTCCTTTAGTTTGCAGAGTACACGTACGAAAATATGTTCTTTCTAGTAACCATAAATGAACAGTGTTACAAGTTTGGCTGATGATCTTAAATTAGTTCTTAGTGTTACTATTAGTATACTCAGCATTGTTCAACTAGTGTTATCCAATCATGGATCCAACTAGAGTGGCTTTATTCTGGCTTTGCAAGCACAGGCTGGTTGAGTCCATGTTTCTAAAACTCATACCAAAACATCTGCCATTAGATGTGATTCTGGTACTAAGCAACAGTTGGTGAACAATCCAAGTGCGCTAACAGTAACACCAAGAACTAATTTAAGAAAACCAGTCAACCCCATAAGATCAGTCATTTAACCTTTCTGAAAGTGACATACATTCGCGCCAAGTGACCTGTTCTCCGTATAGAAAAGGAAAATGTTTGACCCTGAACTACCCTGGAATGTGGGAGCCTATCGTTCCATTTTGCTTCCTCTCTGGCAACGCCTCAGTCAAATCTGAGGTGACTGCCAACCAGTTGGAACCTTTCTGTACTGTATAAATGGTTGCAATGGTTTGAAATTTGACATTCTTGAAGGGCACAAGACCAAAAGCTTCAGCAGCGTGACTGTCTTTTCAGCAAAATTTGAATTCTTTTTCACCATATAACTGTTCTTGTGCAGAAAGATGCAAAAATGGCTAGAATATGGAATCATACCTTCCACGGTCAAAAGGAAGTAGACATCATCTCCCTTGATAAACTCTCTGCTTTTCAACCTCTCGTGGGATAAAAATACATTGGTCCCACGTCCAGGCCCCTGATAGTACCTGGTGCCATCAGTATCTGTTACTAAAACTCCTACTTTGTCAGGTCTGTCCCAAAAGTAGGATGATTGGTAGACTGTAAAACAAAGTCATACCACAGTTAACATGGACAGCCAAAATTGGAAACGAATGCAGAAGGACTGATAAGGATGTTACCTGACCTTCTTCAGGGTTCGTGGTGACACTTCTTTGATGGGACATGCGCCGTCTAATATCTGGATGTTGATCCATTAATGACATTGTGCACTGCTTCCATGGGCATGGCCACTGCAAGTTGTCATCGTTAGGTCCACTGACCAAGTGGAAATACACAGCAAGGTAAGAGGGACTACTGCTCGTTCCATTCACATACAGGCCAATCTGAAATCCATACCCCTCGCTCGAGTACAATCTCGGACTGTAAATTATGCCATCCTTCCCCGAGGGACTAGAGTCTAAAAGGCGGGTAAAGTTCTTGATATGCCACACATGGGTGGGGCAATGCATTTCCGAGAGGTTAACATCATCGATGGAGATTCCTCCAGCCAAACTGCCTGCCCCTTTCACTCCTTCAAACACAACACGGAATTTCTTGGAGACAGCCAGGCTAATATGGTGAAGCTGCCAATAATTCAGATCTGCACCTGTTCAAGGAAACAAAGCAGATTTCAGAAATGTTTTCCTGTAATCTTAGGGCTGCCTTGAATTTTTGAGTGCTTTGGCTCTAGGAGGTCTGAGCTTCCAAAATAGAGGAACATTATTGGAATATACACTGGCAAGATCTCTGCTAGTAATGAAATAACTCAATTTCTGGACTTGATGAAAACTAATGGATAAAGATTGATTGCTAAGATTAGCCAGTGGGCCCATTATCATTGTCTCTGAAGTAAGGTCAATGAACCTGAAATATTAACTCTGCTTTCTCTCCACAGATGTTGTCAGACCTGCTGAATTTGTCCTGCAATTTCTGTTTGCCACTGTGTTGCAATTGTACAAGGATTGTGCATGTTGAGCAGTGTGTTATTGTCAATTCTACACACTCAAAATCGTTTTTTTTAAATTCATCCAATAGGGTGTGGACATTGCAGATTGGGCCAGCATTTATTGCCCATACCGAATTACCCGAGAGAACGTGTTGGAGTGTCACCTTCCTGAAGTGCTGAAGGCCTTGGGGTGTAGGGTTACCCACATGCTGTTAGGGAGGGAATTCCAAGGTTTTGACCCAGTGACAGTGATATATTTCCAAGTCAGGATGGTGAGTGCCTTGGATGGGAACTTGTAAGTGCTGGTGTTCCCATGCCTCTGCTGCTCTTGTCCTTCTAGTTGGGAATGGTTGTGGGTTTGGAACATGCTGTCTAAGAAGCCATGGTGAGTTGCTGTGGTGCATCTTATAGATGGTACACTCTTGAGTGTCATTGGTGGAGGGAGAGGATGTTTGAGGATGTGGTGCTAAACAGTGGACTGCTTTGTCCTGGATGGTGTCAAGTATCTTGAGTGTTGATGGAGCTGCACCCATCCAGGCAAGTGGGGAATATTTCATCACACTCCTGACTTGACCCGTATTTGTTTAAATGTGATATATTTTTGGACTGCCTCCAAATTTCCCCTTTCTCCTCCCCCACAACCATTTAAAGAACTTCAAAGCATGATGTTTGGATTGGTCATTAGTGCTTTTTGATTTTATTTGCTACCAATTAATTACATTTGGTGCCTCAGCTTTTTCCACAACTCAATGAGTGCAAGACTGATCTACAACCAAGCTCTGTATCTATCTTTGCCCATGTGCCTCAATATTATGGTTAACAAAAATATCCATCGGTAAAATCACACAACACCAGGTTGTAGTCTGACAAGTTTATTTGAAAACACAAGCTTTCGGAGCTCGCTCCTTCTTCAGGTATTAGTGAGAGAAGTAGTATCAGACACAGAATTTATAAGTGAAAGATCAAAGGGTCACACCACTGATGAGGATGTAATAAACAAACCTAAGATGCTGTTATATTTTTAATGAGTTAGAAGGTTTTAATTGATTAATATGTATATGTAAATCCCTGAAGTTCTTTCAAGTCACTGTCCTGAGAGAACTAAAGGTGTTATTAGTGTAAAGAAGAGGTGAAAAATTAGGTCAGACAATGTATGTTAGGTGTGAGGTCTTATTTAGAATCTGTTTGTGTTTTGGTTTGGAGTCAGACTGGTTTTTATTTCTAAAGTAGGCATTTATAAAATATCACATTGACTGACTGTCTTTATCTGCAAATACAAATTCACCCCATAGATTTACGTGTGTGTGTGTGTGTGTGTGTGTGTGTGGGGTGGGGGGGGGAGTGTGACTTGAAAGGAATTCAGGGATTTGCATATACATATCAATTAAAACCTTCTAACTGATTAAAGATTTAACAGCATCTTAGGTTTGTTTAGTACATCCTCATCAGTGGTGTGACCCTTCGATCTTTTACTTATAAATTCTCTGTCTGATACTACTTCTCTCACTAACACCTGAAGAAGGAGTGAGTCTCCGAAAGCTTGTGGTTTCAAATAAACCTTTTGGACTATAACCTGGTGTCATGTGATTTCTGACCATGCCCACCCCAGTCCAACACCGGCACCTCCACATCATTGATAAAATTAATAGCTGACTTGACATCATTTGCTATTTGTGAAAGAGAGTTCCAAACTTCTCTCACTCCCTTAATGTAGAATGTTTTCTATTTTCAGTTCTAAAAGGCCAGTCTCTATTTTTTCGTTTCAGCTCCAGACCTACAGTCCCCAACAAGAAACAGTTTCTCCCAATTCACCCTTTCAATTCTGCTCAATATCCTGAATTGCCTCTGAACTATCTAGGTAAGAAACGCAATACCAATTTGTTCACTATCTCTTCATAGCTTAACCTTTGGAATACCATTATCATTCTAATAAATCTACACTGCTCTCCTTCCAAGGCCATATGCAATATTGCAGAAATTGAACTAGTGAAGGATAGAACCAGAGCCCATCTTTGACCCCTTTTATAAATATTTGTTTATTGAGATACACATTACAAGCAAACACCTCCTAATCCAATAACCACAATTCCAATGTCTGGTTATAGGTGCACAAGTGGTCAATGCCCAACACTTTACCCTCGAATTGGTAATTCTAGCAAATAATCCTGAGACAGAAAGCTTCAACAAAATGTGTCCTTTTTCACCAATACTGAAGATTTTGTTTCATTGATTGGAGACTGTAATTTGAGAAAAAAAAACTTGCATTTTTATTGTCCCTTTCATGACCACAGGATGCCCCCAAAATCTCTTACATCCAACCAATTACATTTGAAGTGTTACTAATGTTGTAATATAGGGAATGTGGCAACCAATTTTGCATTGCAAGATCCAAAAAACTGAAATATGACAGTGACCAGATAACCTGTTTCTGCAATGTTGGATGAAGATTAAATATTAGCCAGAACATTGGGGAAATCTCCCCTGTTTTTTCTCAAAATAATCCCACAAATAGCAAAGAGGAACTTCAGTTAAACATCTCAGTTGACATTCACAACTTTCCACTACTCACTAAATATCACACCAGGGCATTCATTGATTATTACAGATGTGACGAGGCTGTGAGTTTAAGAAGTTATTTTGTCCTGGTGTTTTTTTGAAGAGAGGTTATAAGTCAAAGGCACCGAGCAGTCTACAGTACCAGTAAGTCAACAGCTTTGGGAGTCCTTGGTTTTTTTTTAAGCAGACTGAATGCATCTGGCCAGCTCCCACATATCAGGATTTCTTCGTTCTTGTGTTTATCTTTAAACAGAAGCTATTGGGGTCTCAACTGAGTTGGTAGCTTCAGTGAATATTTCCTGGCTGCTGCTCTTTCTGAATTTTCTCTTCATGTTCTTTCCTCCTGGATTAGAGAACTGCATGTGAGAATTGGTGTCTGAATTTGAGTTTTTGCCAAGGGGTGTGTTTATGAGATGTTGCTTTATTGGAGCAGTTAATTAGTAATATCTATTATTCTGTTAAGTTTTCCAGTAGAGTTAAGTTATTCTAAATTCCTCTTTCTTTGGTTGTATTTTAACTACATTGTTTAAATAAATTGTGTTTTGCTTAAAATCGAGTAGTTTAACCAGTCACATTGCATCTTGAACAGGCTCTTCACATATGTCTTTAAAATAGGAAAACGTTAGGGTCTAGGCTACCTTCTTAAAACCATTTTGAGGAGACCTGTCTGCTCAATAACACAGTGAAGTATCTGGAGTGGGTTTTGAATTCATAATCTGATGATTTACCAGAAAGGAAGACCGTCCACTGTAGCATAAAGAACTTCTATTGCCTAGAGCTCTGAATTATATTTGAGAAAGAGGTGGTATTATCTTTTTTTTTGACTTGTAATCCTGTCAGAGTTATACCACCCTGCAGGCTGCACATTTTTAAATGATGTGAAGCTCATTCTTTGTCCTTCAGTGACCTACCTTTCACTGCAGCGACTTTTGTTAAGGTACCATTGGGGTTAGTTTCGTCGTAAACCCTCACCCAGATGTTCAGCTCATCGTTCACACTTCCACTGTTGTAGGAGTAAAACTGCAAGCACTGAAAGCCCCGTTTAGGGTAATAGATTCGAGTTTTCAGTAGAGCACTCTCACCGACTTGATTGGCGCTAAAATGCATGAAGTACCCGATACCTGCCAAACAACAGGATTAGTGTTTGATTAACAAAGCCACCACTATATTAATTGGTAGCCATGATGTGGAGGTGCCGATGTGGGACTGGGGTGGATAAGGTCAGAGGTCACATGACACCAGGTTATTGTCCAACAGGTTTATTTGAAATCACAAGATATCGAAGCGCTGCCCCTTCATCAGGTGAAGTGACTTCTGACTATTTCAATTAACAGAATATTATGTATAAAAAGCAGCGGAGTTATGCTAACTTTTTAAAAAATTTGTTCATGGAATGTAGGTGTCACTGGCTGGATCAGCATTTATTACCCACAAGGCAGTTAGGAATCAACCATATTGCTGTGGCTCACAGGTAGGCCAGACTGGGTAAAGATGACAGATTTCCGTCCCTAAGAGGCATTAGTGAATCAAATAGGTTTTTACAACACTTGACGGGGATTATATGTTCATCATTAAGCTAGATTTTATTGATTGAATTCAAATTTCACCATTTGGCATGGTGAGAATTGAGCCCTTGTCCTCAGAACATTAGCCTGGGGGCGTCTGATTACTAGACGTTACCACTACACACCATCATAAGACTGAATTGGAATATTGTATTCAGTCGTGGAACCATACTTTAGGATGTTTTGTTTTCCCTTTATTCTTTCATAGATGTAGGTGATGTTGAGGCCAGCATTTGTTACCCATCCCTGTTTACTCCCTGAATTGAGTGGCTTGCTACTGGGTCTCTGGATTAACAGTCCAGCGATAATACCACCCGGTCATCACCTCCCCTAAAATTGATACAACCCTATTGCATCAAAGAGGGTGGAACTAATTAGCTGGCTCTGTCAACGCGTGCACTTCAAAGGGCTGAATGGCCTTTTCATGCTCTTCAGGAATGTAGGATTCAGATTTCCACTTCTCATTTGCACCAAAGGGGTCCTCTGAGTGAATGCCAATCTAATGCCAACTGTTGCGAAGGGGAAGTGGTGCTGATTTCCATTGTGGGCACTTGCTTGCCATGAGTTAGGTTGGGAAATGTGATTCCTGATGAAGCGTTTTACAAAGGGATGTTACTGTACCTGCACAGTCGCCCATGTTGGTGTAGTCTTGGTCAGGCCCAGGCAGGGCTTGGGTAACACGTTGCCAATTGACCTTGTTGCCTGGACCGTGAATCATGCCACAGATGCTTTCCAGTTCAAAACTGCACTGATCCAGAAAGCTAAGAGAGGATGCTAAAATGGAAACAAAAACAGAAAGGTGAGTTCATCCTTTATTACAACAACAGCTGTTTTCATTTACTTGGTACCTTTCACGCTGACAACAGAATATCCCAAACAAATTTACCATCAATGGCGTACTTTTTGAAGGGTGGTCACTGTTGTAGTTATTTGTGCACAGCAAGCTCCCATAAACAGCAATGGGATAATGGCCAGACAAACAGTTTTTTTGATGATGATTGAGGGTTACAGGTTTACCAGGATAAAGCTGCTGCTCTTATTCATAACATTGCGAATGTTTTAGGATGTGCAAAGAAGACCAACTCAGAAACACTGAAAGAATGTAGGCAAAAACTCAGTGGATGTTTTAGGTTGGGAATTGGCGTCCTAGTGGTAACAGCATGGGACTGCTAATCCAGAATCATAGAAACCCTACAGTGTGGAAGCAAGCCATTCGGCCCATCAAGTCCACACCAATCCTCCAAAGACCATCCCACCCGGATGCACCCTGTCCCCTGAGAGGCTCCAGTTACTGACCTGGGGGCCATGTGTTCCAATCCCACCATATCTGCTGGTAGGATTTCATGTGGCACTGAGATGAAAGATCATTTATGATCATATTGAATGATGGAGCAGGACCTCAGCCTACTCCTGCTACTAGTTTCTGTCTTTAAATTCAATTAATAAATCAGAAATTATAAAGCTAGTGACAGTAAAGATGACCTTGAGAATATAATTAATCATCATTAAAAACCCATCTGGTTCACTAAAATTCTCAAGAAAAGCGACCCACCATCTGGTCTGAGCCTACCCATGAATCCAGAACTACAGGACTATAACTGACTCTGTAATGGCCCTGCCTTGACCTGAGAGAGAAACAAGGGGCCTTGGTTTAACATCTTATCAGAAAGGCAGCATCTCTGACTGTGTCAGCCTCACTAATTCTGCTCTGGCAGGACTTGAACTCACAACTTTGTGACTCAGAAGCCAGATGTTGCAAAATGAGGTTCTCCAGTCTCAATAAAGGCAAAATACCGCAGATGCTGGAAATCTGAAACAAACACAGAGAACACTGGAGGACTGGCAGTGTCTATGGAGAGAGAAACAGCCTTAATGATTTGGGTCAAATATGTTCTGAAGAAGAGTCATCCCGGGAAGCAATACGTTAACTGTTTTTCATTGCATTCTCTCAGTGTTTCTCCAGTTTGAGTTGGTCTTCTTTGCAGCAAGCAATTCACTCTAGTCTCATTGATCCATAGAGGTGTACAGCACACAAAAAGGCCCTTCAGCCCATCAAGTTTGTGATGGTCAAAAACAACCACCTGACTATTCCAATCCTATTCCCCAGCACTGGGCCCATAGCCTTGTATTCTTTGACATCACAAGTGCGCGTCTAAATACTTCTTCAATGTTATGAGGGTTTCCACCTCTACTCTCTCTCCTGTATTTGCTGCTCAGAATGCAGTCTCCTCAATGCTGGTGAGATTAAACACAGACCAGGTGACCTCAGCTCATTCTGCAAACATAACCTTGATCTCCCAGTCACTGGCCATTTCAATTCACCATCTCATCCTAATGCTCCCGTTTCTGTCCTTCGGCTGCAGTGTTCCAGTGAAGCCCAATACAAGTTGGACTCAACATTGAGGTCAAGAACTTGAGACCAGGAATTCTGTGTGCCATTCCAAATGCTATTTTTCCCCCAAAAGTGCCAATGTGTATCTTCTACTCATAATTTTGCTTTCAGTCAGAGTTGACCTTTATTCTGTCATCATCTGAATCAATACTCTGCTTCCTCATTTCGACAATTGCCACTCCTCTGACTTATGTTCCACACATGATGCTCTGGCCTATCTCCAACCTCGTCTTTTGTTCAACCTGACCCTCCCTATTACCCAGCTGTGTCCCCCCACCAACATTTTCAACTGCATAAAATCTATTCATTTTCCACCTCACCAGTTCTAACATTGGACTTGAAACATTAATGTTATTTTTCTTTCCATAAATGCAACCAGAACTGTTGAGTTTCACAAGCACTTTCTGTCTCGGAATTCTTTGGTGAGAAACTCACCTCCTGACTCCCCCAAAGCTTGTCCTCGCTCAACAAAGGCAAAGTTAGAAGAATAGAGGAGCTGAATATCAATTATGTGGGGAAAAGACTTCAGAAAGCAACAGCACAGAGAGATTTGGGAGTGCATAATCACAAAAAGCTGGTAAAGAGGTTCAGCAGGTAATAGGGAAGGCACATGGAATGTTGGACTTTATTTTGAAAAGAATGAAGCATAAAAATAGGGGAGGTCTTGCTAAAACTATACAAGGCACTAGTTAGATCACAGCTGGAATACCGTGAAAAATGTTGATTCCCTTATCTAAGGAAAGATGTGCTGGCATTGGAGGCAGCCCAGAGAAGATTCACTAATTTGAACCCGGGTATGGAGGGACTGTCTCATGAGGAGGTTGAGCAGGTTGGGTATTTAGAAAATGAAAAGCGAATTGATTGAAACATAAAGGACTCTCAGGGGACTTGACAGAGTAGATGTGGAAAGGATTTTTCCCCTAGTGGAGGGCCAGAACACATAATCTCAGAGTGAGTAGTCAGTTTGGACAGACATGAGGAGGAACTTCTTCTCTCAGAGCGTAATTAATCTGTGGAATTCTTTGTCACAGAGAGCTGTTGAGGCTGGGTCATTAAGTATATTCAAGGCTGACATAGATTTTTAGTCAGTAAGGGAATGGGCCAAGTGCAGACTAGTGGGACTAGCTTAGTTTGGGAAACCTGGTTGGCATTGATGAGTTGGACTGAAGGTCCATGCTGGCGACTCTATCACTCCATATGAGGAAAAGGCAGGAATGCGGAATTGTGATTATCATATCAGTCATGATCTCAGGGAATGACAGAGCAGGTTTGATGGGCTGAATATAATCTTATGGTCAGGAATCTGCTGTTATGTGTCCATTTGCCTGGACGGATGCAGCAACAGCAACATTCATGAAACTCAATAAAAACTGGAAGAACTGCGGATGCTGTTAATCAGGAACAAAAACTGTTCTGGGGAAGGGTCACCAGACCCAAAACGTTAACTCCGTTTTCTCCTTCACAGATGCCGCCAGACCTGCTGAGCTTTTCCAGCAACTTCTGTTTTTGTTCAAGAAACTCAATATTGTTGAGGACAAAACAGGCCCTATAATTGGCATCACATCTACTACCTTCTATTCAACAACCATTCCCTTGATCATCAAACACTACTATCTCTAAACCAATAGTAGCAGTGTGTACCATCTACACTGTACTGTGCAGAATTCACCAAAGTTCCTCAGACAGCACATTCCAAACCCACGACCACTTCCATCTAGAAGGGCAAGGACAGCAGATACATGGGAACACCACCCCCTGCAATTTCTCCTCCAAGCTACTCACCATCACAGAAATGTATTGCCATTCCTTCAGCATCACTGGGTCAAAATCCAGGAAATCCCTTCTTGATGTCAGTGTGGGGGGGTACTTACAGCCCAAGGACTGCAGTGATTCAAGAAGATAACTCATTAAATCTCCTTGAAGGTAACTAGTGATGTCCAATAAACACTGGCTTAGCCAGCAACATGTACATCACATGAATTAATGAAAAGCTTGCTAGACCATTAAGACTCAAGCTCATTACTGTGGGTCTGGAGTCACATTGGCCAGACCAAATGAGGATGACCGATTTCCTTCACTAAAGGTCATTGGTGACTAGGATGGGTTTTCATCTAGAAGGACAAGGGCAGCAGATATATGGGAACACCAAGTTCCCCTCCAAGCCACTCATCATCCTGACTTGGAAAGTTATCGCCGTTCCTTCAGTGTCGCTGGGTCAAAATCCTGGAATTCCCTCCCTAATAGCATTGTGGGTCAACCCACAGCAGGAGGACTGCAGTGGTTCAAGAAGGCAGCTCACCCCCACCTTCTCAAGGGGCAACTAGGGATAGGCAAGAAATGTTGGGCCCAGCCAGCAACGCCCACATCCCACAAAATGAATAGAAAAAAATATGACAGCTCACTATTTTCATGGTCACTATTACCAACACTATTTCTTTAACATTAAAGTTATTCACCAAATTTAAAGTCTGTGCTGCCCTTGTCATGAATCCATGTGTGACATTTGGATTCCTGGTCTCATAACACAACCATGACATTTTATTCACTGGGTTGTGGGTAATTGGTGATTACTTGAAAACCTGACCCTGTGAAAGCTCAGCCTTTGCACTTCTTCTAATTTGCTTTAGATTTTGTTAACCGACCGCGAATTCCAATTGCACTCTATTACATCCAAAACCACTGGAACTTACTGCAGTTGTAGAGTCGGTTGAGTTTCTGAACGTCATAATCGCTGAAATCTAACCGTTGTCCAATCATGTTACTGAATTCTGCAATCTTGGTGACGATTGTTGGTTCAGTGCCATTATTAAATGCTGTGGAACTGTAGTGCATCACTGAGGTGTAGTCATAGGGTATGTTGAGATCACTGCTTTCCTTGTCATTATATTTATTGAAATTGTGCTCTTTACCTGAGTCAAAAGCAACAAGAGGATTCATCAAGAAACTGTCTTGTATCAGCAACGACAACCTTGCTCTTCCTGACTGTCTCAGGGTACAATCATCACTCTTTACCATTTTCAATCCTGTCCCAGACTATAATGACATAGTCATCACGATCAGCTCTCGACTGCTCATGCCAGAATCCCAGGGCATGAAGGAATTCATGTACGATGGTCCCCATTCTTTCACATCCTTCACCAATGGACAGTTCCTGCCGACCTTCCTGTTGGTTCCCTACGAAGGACCAGCACCTGAAAAATTCATGAATTCTTTGTGTTAAATGTGCTCCTCTTGCAGATGACCAATGCTGGGCGGTGAAGTTTGTTGTGAGGCAAACGCAGAAATTCTTCAGTGCGATTTGGATAAGTTGAGTGCATGTTAGGATGAAGTATAATGTGGATATATGTCAAGGCTGTCCACTTTGGTAGCAAAATCAGAAGGCAGAATATCTAGGATATTGCTCCTCTGATGCTGCTTGGCCTGCTGTGTTCATCCAACTCTACACCTTGTTATCTCAGATTCTCCAGCATCTGCAGTTCCTACTATCTCTGGCAGAATATCTAACTGGCAATAGTTTGGGAAAAGAGGAGGTGCAATGAGACCTGGCTGTCCTCATACATCAGTCGTTGAAAGTAAACAGGTAGGTGAAGAAGGCAAATGGTATTTTGGCCTTCACAGTGAGAGGATTCGAGTACAGGAGCAGAAATGTCTTGCTACAATTATACAGCGCCTTGGTGAGACCTCACCTGCAGTATTGTGTGCAGTTTTGGACTCCTCATCTGAGGAAGAATGATCTTGCTATGGAAGGAGTGTGGCAAAGGCTTACCAGACTGATGCCTGGGATGTTGGAACATGAAGAGAGACCGGATCGGTTAGGAATTTATTCACTGGACTTTAGAGGAATGACTGGGGAGATCTAATAGAAACTAATAAAATTCTAACAGGATGAGACGGAGGTAAAGGAAGGATGTTCCCGATGACAGGGGAGTCCAAAACCAGGGGGTCACAGTTTAATGATATAGGATAGGGCAATTAAGACTGAGATGAGGAGAAATATCTTTACCCAGAGAATGTTGAGCTTGTGGAATGCTCTGCCACAGAAAGTGGTTGAGGGAAAAATATTGAATATTTTCAAGGAGGAGATATATACAGGGCTAAATGGATCAAAGGATATGGGAAGAAAGTGGGAGCAGGGACTGAGTTGGTGATGAGCCATGATCATGCATCATGGTGGAACAGGCTTACAGGGGCTGAATGGCCT